AAATTCTTGGCTATTTTCAAAGAATTTTAATATGACCCAAATGGAGAGAATATTTAACAAATGGGAAATCAACCAATTTTTAAATTATTATGGCAAACTATGACTCGAGATGTAGTAATAAATGGAAAAATAAAATATTGWATAGTAGATTTATCATGGTTAGGTGAATCACCAAATATGTYAACCCTCTTTTTATTTATCATTAACACAATTTATCAAAATGGTATTTTAAGAATTTTTAAATTCACTTGGACTATATTTTTAAATTCTTGATATTATGCATCACTCACATACGTTACACCCGCATGTGTTGTCTCCGTCTTACAAGTGCGTAACATTGCAAAAACTGTTTCGCGTGGGAAAGAACCGAGAAAGCTACAATTTAACTAAGAAACGAAATTTTCTCTACATAAAAAGGAGAATTTTGTCTGTGCAATATCATATTTATTTTTTCGATATCAGAACTACAAAAAAAGTTATTCATGCTTAAAAAACACAAAATTAATGTATTATGAAACAATAAGAATTTTTTTCGTATAAGTGATATCGAAAAAATAMAAACGATATTGCACAGACAAAATTCTCCTTTTAATGTGGTGAAAATTTCGTTTCTTAGTTATAACTGTAGCTTTCTCGGTTCTTTCTTGCGCGAAACAGTTTTTGCAATGTTATGCACTTGTAAGACGGAGACAACACATGAGGGTGAACATCCTCTTAAAGAATATCCGTGAACAAAATTTTTTGATTTCAAATGAGAATTTTTAAACTAAAATTATACAGTAGATAATTTTTTTGAAAATTTTGAAGTATCAGAATCAATAAGTAGTTTTAATATTATTTAAATTTTACTCTATACCTTCGACACAAGCTATGCTTACGGAAGGTATATAATTTTTTATTCAATTGTATGTATTTAATTGTATGTATAATATAATAAAAAAAAATGTATACAAATAACTTAGAAATTGTTGAAATAATGTGCATAATATTATTACGTATATGAATTGATAAAAACAACATTTGATGTAAATTTCCAGTTTCTAGGGTTATTCATTATTTAAAAAATAATAACATCAGTATTCAGTACTAGARAATTTGAGTGATTCCAATGTTGTAATATTAAAATGCTAATAAAAATTTTATTTGACTTTCTGGTAGATATTTTTTATTTGATAAAAGTAGTCAAAGTCATGTAGAATCTTATATTGAATTTTCAAATCTTAGGTAAAGATAAATTTTTATTTATTTTAACTTTAAATGCTTATTAAAAAATTATGACTATGTATATTCAATATTCTTTAACTACCATTGTGAAAATATATAAGGAGCCTTGAATTAAACTTTTAAGCTTTTTTGCTAAACCAATAAAATTTTAAAGTCATTTATAAGACAAAAAAAACTAAAAAATTTAAAATTTAAAAACTCCTATAAATGACTTCAAAATATTTAAAAAATGTTATCAAGAATAGAAAATTTCATAATTTGACCAACCTAATGCACCAACTAGATACACTTTCTAATCTGAAAAGCTAATGAAGTTGACAATCAGAGCATTATTTGGACAACATATTATGTACACAGACACACAAAAAAAAGATATTGTAAAACAATACATTCATCATTATTCTCAGAATCTAAAAGTAGAATTTGTAACCTATAGGCATAATTGAAAGAACCAAAAATAATTAAAAACATGCTCAAATAAAAACTTCATTTAAATTTTAACTCACCTGACAAAACTGTCTTATGATTTTTAATACTACCAGTAGCATAGTGAATAATTTTTAAACTTAACTACTTAAGCAAGACAAAAAATTAAGTATGCAACTACCAACATAATTTTTACAGCAAATAACAATAGTCATATTATATTAAATGGTTTTGTATTTTTTTATTGTTATATCTTTATCAGTTATGACAAATGGTCATTGTCTAGGAAAACCTTCTTTAGAAGTACTCAGCACACCACTGAGTTATATACTTTAATCTTTATTATATAATATATTTAAAAACTAAATTATGTATATTACCTATAGATAATGTTATTATTTTATACACAATAAAGCAATAATTACTAACCTTTTAGTATTAAATATAAACTAAACAAAMAACATATTTAATTTATTTATGTAAGCGAATACAACTTAACATATAATGAATATCCTAACAATATTTACTATTAGTATTAAAAACTAACTAACACAAATTCTAATAAAAAAAACATGTTTATCAGGCCTATATTTTGTAAATAATAAATTTATTTTAAATAACAAATTAATTATAATTACTACACATACCTGTTACGTGATGTTGAAGGAGTAGGGGAAGGTAATGCCTTGAGATGTTTTTTTAAAGGAACTGAAGAATTTTGAATTCTAATGAAACAGAAAAATCAAACAAAAAAATAATAATAATATTACTTGTGTGCAAACAAAATCAACTAATATCAATGTGTCTAAAAATATAGACGTTTCAACATCTAAATTCTTAAAAGGCAAAACTAAATAATAGTGCAGTAAATAACATAAACATAGATCAAACATAAACTCCATGAGATAAGGCATTCATTTCTCAATGATTAAWTAAACGTTTAAATAAATTATCTAACCATGCTAGTATTTATAAACCAAATTTTAAAAAATAAAGTGCTCTGCTATATATAAGGTATTAAGCTTAARTGCATACCAGTGGTGGCATACCTACTAWACCTCATAACTGATGACTGTGTACTGATTCAGTATCATGTCTTAATTTTAAATTCAATGACTAGTATTAAAAGAAAAAGAATTTGGAGTGGAGATGATTCGACCAATATTTCTCACTAAATATTTGTAATTTATTTATCAAATAAAAATATGGAGGGATGAATAATTGTTACCAAAAATAATGCAGCCAATCATAATATCTATATTATGATATATTATAAACTGTTATTATAAGTTAAAGTTCATGAAATTCCATAGGACGGTTTAAATATGTTTATAGTATCAGTAGCTTAAATTAATCTTATACTTAGTCCCACAAGAGAATATGCGGGGGAGTTACAAGCAGAATGAGCWACACCCAGTAGACTGGCCCAATTAATAATACAGCCAAATCCCTTCAAAGTGTTTTGATATCTGCTTGTTTGTATTAAACATCTAATCATAAGCTATWCACTTTTTTTTTACTAAATTCATTTGATTCTAATAACATTAACTAACATCTAATATTTATTTAAAAAATAATATAAAATAAAATATAATAATACATACCTATGAGTATAGGGCAAGTAACGACTACGATGAGAATTCAAGTTTTGAGCTTTGTTGCGCCATTCATTGTTGAACTCCTCAGCTTCATCTAAAAATTAAAATGTTCAAGTTAAGTCTTAATTTTAAAATAKAATATTGAATAATAATGTATAACAGCATTATTATTAAAAAATAAATAATATAAATCACAAATACAGAAGTGTAAATAAATCATTCATTGGTTCAGTATTAATTAAAATATTATATTTAATGAAGTT